ACAAATAAAATCTGCCAACTCTTTTTTTATTTTTTTTTTTTTTTTGTAAAAAAGGAGATCAAACACGATGACAGCATGTTTTCTTCCAGTTTTTATTTTAACTCATACTTTGTCATATATTTTACATAAAAACTAATAGTTTTGTTTTTAAAAATACCATAGAGATTTTTTTTCTGTATTTATGAGTAAAAAAAGTAAATAAATTTACAGAGAATTAGAAAAACTGCTAAAATAAAAATGAAAATGTTTTAAGAAATAATCCATATATAAAATTTTTGTAACACTGTTTCTCTAGAAGGGCTATATATCATTGAACTACAACTAAACTATAAATGGAAGTAGAACTGAGCCAGAACTGAACTAGAACTGAACAAGAACTGAACTAGAACTGAACTAGAACTGAACTAGAACTGAACTAGAACTGAACTAGAACTGAACTAGAACTGAACTAGAACTGAACTAGAACTGAACTAGAACTGAACTAGAACTGAACTAGAACTGAACTAGAACTGAACTAGAACTGAACTAGAACTGAACTAGAACTGAACTAGAACTGACTAGAACTGAACTAGAACTGAACTAGAACTGAACTAGAACTGAACTAGAACTGAACTAGAACTGAACTAGAACTGAACTAGAACTGAACTAGAACTGAACTAGAACTGAACTAGAACTGAACTAGAACTGAACTAGAACTGAACTAGAACTGAACTAGAACTGAACTAGAACTGAACTAGAACTGAACTAGAACTGAACTAGAACTGAACTAGAACTGAACTAGAACTGAACTAGAACTGAACTAGAACTGAACTAGAACTAGAACTGAACTAGAACTGAACTAGAACTGAACTAGAACTGAACTAGAACTGAACTAGAACTGAACTAGAACTGAACTAGAACTGAACTAGAACTGAACTAGAACTGAACTAGAACTGAACTAGAACTGAACTAGAACTGAACTAGAACTGAACTAGAACTGAACTAGAACTGAACTAGAAAAAAACTGAACTAGAACTGAACTAGAACTGAACTAGAACTGAACTAGAACTGAACTAGAACTGAACTAGAACTGAACTAGAACTGAACTAGAACTGAACTAGAACTGAACTAGAACTGAACTAGAACTGAACTAGAACTGAACTAGAACTGAACTAGAACTGAACTAGAACTGAACTAGAACTGAACTAGAACTGAACTAGAACTGAACTAGAACTGAACTAGAACTGAACTAGAACTGAACTAGAACTGAACTAGAACTGAACTAGAGCTGTACTAGAACTGAACTAGAACTGAACTAGAACTGAACTAGAACTGAACTAGAACTGAACTAGAACTGAACTAGAACTGAACTAGAACTGAACTAGAACTGAACTAGAACTGAACTAGAACTGAACTAGAACTGAACTAGAACTGAACTAGAACTGAACTAGAACTGAACTAGAACTGAACTAGAACTGAACTAGAACTGAACTAGAACTGAACTAGAACTGAACTAGAACTGAACTAGAACTGAACTAGAACTGAACTAGAACTGAACTAGAACTGAACTAGAACTGAACTAGAACTGAACTAAACTGAACTAGAACTGAACTAGAACTGAACTAGAACTGAACTAGAACTGAACTAGAACTGAACTAGAGCTGTACTAGAACTGAACTAGAACTGAACTAGAACTGAACTAGAACTGAACTAGAACTGAACTAGAACTGAACTGAACTAGAACTGAACTAGAACTGAACTAGAACTGAACTAGAACTGAACTAGAACTGAACTAGAACTGAACTAGAACTGACTAGAACTGACTAGAACTGAACTAGAACTGAACTAGAACTGAACTAGAACTGAACTAGAACTGAACTAGAACTGAACTAGAACTGAACTAGAACTGAAACTAGAACTGAACTAGAATACTAGAACTGAACTAGAACTGAACTAGAACTGACTAGAACTGAACTAGAAACTGAACTAAACTAACTAGAACTGTACCAGAACTGAACTAGAACAGAGAATCGTTTCTGAATTACATCAATACAACTTTTCGAAAATCACATAAACTCATAGGATATCACATAATACAATTATTTCAGAATTTGTTTAATGATTCTTAATAAGATGTTAATATTTATATAATTTTAATTACCGAATCATTTAAAGCTTAACTTAGAGAAATTAACTTGTAGCTCTTCTTTATTTCCTCCCATTAGCAAACAGTGTATTTATACTCTAGATGCTCTTGACAAATAATTTATGCTATATACTCCTTTTTTTCTTCAACATTGCTAACAAAATGAATGAAATTTGTATCCTTTTTTATGCATTTCAGTGCCTCCGCACACCTCTAGCCCACTTAACCAAAATTTTTCTCTATGATCTTTTTTGTTGGTACAAAAAAAATGCAAAGTGTAAGAAGAAAAGGAAAAATGTTACAAGAGCTAGAGGAAATGAAAAACTTGTGAGAGAGCGATGAAAAAAAGGAAAAATTTGTGGCAAAACGTAAATCATGTTATTCATCTAATATGCAGAAACACAAAAAACTAGGAAAAACAACCTAGAAAAACCTTAAACTAAACAAAGTGGCAGTATATGTACGCTCTTATACAAATACCAATTCACATGCACTATATAGAGAGAAGAAGAAAATATAAGTGTGTATTACAGTTGTGTGATTTCAAAGAGAAGTCCTCAAAAAACATTAGCCCATGTAACAAATTTATTACAGAGGTTGTTGTACTCTGAGATATATGTATATTAGGGTGTAACTTTTTTTCTTACTTGGGAGAAGCTTGGGCCATACGGGATTTGTCTGAATTACTCTTTGTTGTGACGATAGATTTACAAATATAGTTCGTAGCAGTTAGAAATATTTGACGATTCAAAATATTCCTTTCTGGTTTTTTTTTCTGATGGAACAGGAGTGACAACAAAACATTTCAATATGAACCCCCTAATATAGATGTATTTATAGTTAGAGCTAACGGAAAGGGAAGTTGTTGATTTGGTTGCTGTTATAGTAGTTGTTTAAATATAAACTATATTGTGTTGTTTATTTAGTTAAATTTTTGCTTAAGTTGTTTATCAACTTGTGGTAGTGTGCGTGAGTCTAACACCATGTTGAGTTTATTGTATGTGTATATAAATTGATGTATATGTCTAAGAGGGTAAATAATGATAACAAGAAAATTGTGTGTCTAGTAAAAATCAATAGGCTTTATCAACATTCATGATTTTCCAATGTCTGAGACTATTAAAACTAGTACAAAAATTGCACTTAACTATTATATAAATTATATTAATTTTCCATATTTATAAATATGTGGAATTATTCATAATAAATTTTAAAAATTTTCAAAGGCTTATATAAAAAATACATTTAAAAAAAAAACCCTTTTTATTATTAAACTAATTTAACTGCTCACAGTCCTTTAATTTTTCTCTTTTACAACATCAGCTTTTTACACTTTTTTGTCTATTATAAATAGCCTAAATGATTTATTTTCTTCTCTTTATATTTTGGTTTTATTTTGGCTTTAAATAACATAATTTAATATATTATAAATAGTTCGTTATCAAATTAATGGTTTATTAAGACTTACTTATGTTGTTAAAAAAAGAAAAAAAATCGAAAACAGACAATAAAATTTACAAAGATAATACACAATGACAAGTGATACTATCTATATTAATAACTTTGACTTCAAGGTCATTGTTTTTGAAAGAATCAATTAAATCACAAAATTCGGCCAAAACGAAAAGAAATTTATTTTTCTACACTCTAAGTGGATACCAAAAAAAAAAAAAAAAATCTGCATAAATTTGTAATCAATTAATGTCAACAAAATATTTATGTTACAAAAATTGTGTCTTTATAATATTGAATTAAACTAGAACTGAACTAGAACTGAACTAGAACTGAACTAGAACTGAACTAGAACTGAAACTAGAACTGAACTAGAACTGAACTAGAACTGAACTAGAACTGAACTAGAACTGAACTAGAACTGAACTAGAACTGAACTAGAACTGAACTAGAACTGAACTAGAACTGAACTAGAACTGAACTAGAACTGAACTAGAACTGAACTAGAACTGAACTAGAACTGAACTAGAACTGAACTAGAACTGAACTAGAACTGAACTAGAACTGAACTAGAACTGAACTAGAACTGAACTAGAACTGAACTAGAACTGAACTAGAACTGAACTAGAACTGAACTAGAACTGCAACTAACTAGAACTGAACTAGAACTGAACTAGAACTGAACTAGAACTGAACTAGAACTGAACTAGAACTGAACTAGAACTGAACTAGAACTGAACTAGAACTGAACTAGAACTGAACTAGAACTGAACTAGAACTGAACTAGAACTGAACTAGAACTGAACTAGAACTGAACTAGAACTGAACTAGAACTGAACTAGAACTGAACTAGAACTGAACTAGAACTGAACTAGAACTGAACTACAACTGAACTAGAACTGCACTAGAACTGAACTAGAACTGAACTAGAACTGAACTAGAACTGAACTAGAACTGAACTAGAACTGAACTAGAACTGAACTAGAACTGAACTAGAACTGAACTAGAACTGAACTAGAACTGAACTACAACTGAACTACAACTGAACTAGAACTGAACTAGAACTGAACTAGAACTGAACTAGAACTGAACTAGAACTGAACTAGAACTGAACTAGAACTGAACTAGAACTGAACTAGAACTGAACTAGAACTGGAACTAGATACTGAACTAAGAACTGAACTAGAAACTGAACTAGAACTGAACTAGAACTGAACTAAGAACTGAACTAGAACTGAAACTAAGAACTGAACTAGAACTGAACTAAGAACTGAAGCTAGAAGAAACTGAACTAGAACTGAACTAGACCTGAACCTAGAACTGAATCTAGAACTGAACTCAGACGGAACCTAGAACTGAACTAGAACTGAACTAGAACTGAACTGAACTGAAACTAGAAATGAACTAGAACTGAACTAGAACTGAAACTAGAACTGAACTAGAACTGAACTAGAACTGAACTAGAACTGAACTAGAAACTGAACTACAACTGAACTAAACTAGAACTAAACTGAACTAGAACTGAACTAGAACTGAACTAGAACTGAACTAGAACGACTACAACGGAACTAGAACTGAACTAGAACTGAACTAGAACTGAACTAGAACTGAACTAGAACGGAACTAGAACTGAACTAGAACGGAACTAGAACTGAACTAGAACGGAACTAGACTGAACTAGAACTGAACTAGAACTGAACTAGAACTGAACTAGAACTGAAACTAGAACTGAACTAGAACTGAACTAGAACTGAACTAGAACTGAACCTAGAACTGAACTAGACTGAACTAGAACGACTAGAACTGAACTAGAACTGAACTAGAACTGAACTAGAACTGAACTAGAACTGAACTAGAAAAAAAACTGAACTAGAACTGAACTAGAACTAACTAGAACTGACTAGAACTGAACTAGAACTGAACTAGAACTGAACTAGAACTGAACTAGAACTGAACTAGAACTGACTAGAACTGAACTAGAACTGACTGAACTGAACTAGAACTGAACTAGAACTGAACTAGAACTGAACTAGAACTGAACTAGAACTGACTAGAACTGAACTAGAACTGACTAGAACTGAACTAGAACTGAACTAGAACTGAACTAGAACTGAACTAGAACTGAACTAGAACTGAACTAGAACTGAACTAGAACTGAACTAGACTGAACTAGAACTGAACTAGAACTGAACTAGAACTGAACTAGAACTGATCTAGAACTGAATTAGAACTGAACTAGAATTGAACTAGAATTAAACTAGAACTGATGTATTTAATTAAAACGTTCCAAAAATATTGTAGTTTTGAAAAACTATTTAATTTTTTTGCAACTACTTAAAATAATTACTAATAATCGCATTCAATTAAACAAGTTGATTTATAAATAAGGGCTGCATAACATGTAATTTAAATTGCAGCAATAACAACAAAAAACAATTGAAAGCACTACATTTTAATTAAGTTCTTTTTATACATTTTATGCAATTTGATGCTTTTTCAAAAACACTTAATCAATGAAACATTTTTACAATTAATTATCAGTTCGTATTAATTTTAATACTTACAAACATACGTATATAGCACATATTTGCTGTAAGACTGATGTAACTCAAACATCATAGTCTTGAAAATAATGGCTTTGAATGTGACATTTTCCTAAATAACTTTTAGACAAAGTAAGATTTTATTAATATAGACTGATATAGATAACTTGAGTTACGACACATTTTGAGTAAATAATATGTGTATGTAAGGATGATGCTGTTTTTTTTTTTACACTGTTCCTTATACTATAACTTCTACTCACCTTCTCATTCACATTTTTATTTGTGTCTTTATAGCAACCAATTAAAAAATTTACAAGTCAATATTTAAAACGATTTCCAAGAAGAAGGACAAATATAAAAATAGTCACTTCGATTATAGAAAACAGAGGAAAATAAAACGAAAAAAGGATGCAACAAGGACAACAGAGAAAGAAACAACATAAACAATTAATATCCTTAAAGGAAATAAACAATTTATTTAAAAAGCAAAAGCAATCCTATAAACACAGAAGGTATTAAGGGAAATAGTCAGAAATAGCAATATAAACTGCGACAACTATTAACGGAAAATTGAAATAAACAGTATAAAATATAGAATAATTGGAAGAAAAGAAGAATACGCTGCTGCACGCAGGGATTGCTATTGCAGCAAAAGGATTGCTTTTGCAGCAAAAGACAAGTTTGTCTTTAAGCTGTTAAGAGGATTTGCATGGATCAAAAGAGCATCACCATAACATTTAAGTGCTACAACAACTATTGGAAAACACTAGCTACCACCAACACCACCGCCCTTAAAAAAGAAGTCACTCACACGTTTTCTGTTTTACAATTTTTTTAAAAAGAATACACACACACAGAGTAACAATAATCAATCAATCAATGACATCAACGAACATTTACTTCATACTCTTGCATGTATGCATGTAAAAAAACACAAGGATACAAAAGACACACACACCGTTTTGCTCTCAAAAAAAAAAAAACAAATTCTGATTATTTACTTGAAACGTATATCCTTTCAAGTAGATTGCAAAAAGCTTGAGAAAAAACTTAAACTTTAAAAAAATGAAAAATAACAGCGAATTTAAACGAAAACTATTTATAAATAAAACCCAATTACATGATGAATGTACAAATCAAAAAGAAAATATTGAAAAATCCCTAAAATACAAAACTCCTAAAACTATGCAATATAACTATGATAGCAGAATAGTTAAGAAAACATTGAAAACATCAACAATAACAACTGCAACACCACCACTAATGATGACAACTTTGTCAACAACATTATCATCATCGTCATCATTATCGCCATTATTATCATCATTAGCAGCACCATTGACGATATCATTAAAAACACAAACATCTACAGCAGCAAACGAAGAAACTAACAAATTAAAGGAAATACAACGAGATCCTTTGCAACAACAACAGCAGCTACAACAAACTGAGTTAAAATGCCACCTGCAAAATAACAACGACAAATATGTTCAATCATCAGTACAGACACAGCAGCAACAACAACAAGCAGCAACAACAGCAACATTTGTAAAGTCAACAATTTCCAATGATATTAACACCGGAAATACGTTGCTATCATATGTTTACAATAATAAAACAACAACCAACAACAGCAGCAGCAGGAATAACAAAAATAATGATGAAGAAAATAAAGACGACGACAATAATGATAATGTAACATCCTTGAGAGTAACATCAACACCAGCAGCAGCTAAAACTTCCTGTTTAAGCAACACCATCAACAATAATAATAATGATAAAGACATCATCATAACCTCAACATTATCAGCGGCCTCATTGTCATCACCATCGTTAATACATCATGAACATCGTCGTCAGAAAGTTATTGCCACTAACACTCAAACCACCACCACCAGCACCACGAGCACCTACAAACACTCAGCCCTTTATCATGAAATGGACAACAGCTTAAGCAGTTTTAAATTTTGGAAAACCACCACCCACTCCTCGTCTTCAAATGTCACCAACAAATCCTGCTACTATTTATACTCTTCCTCGAATGTCATTTGGCTATTGGCTTTAGTGTCGATGTTCAGCTTATTCGGTTGCGGTCATGCTGGCTTTGCTTGCCTCAGTAATCCTTGTGTCTTTGGCGTTTGTATTGACGGTCTAAATAGGTGAGTTATTTTCCATTCTCAATTTTAATGTACATATACATATATGTATGTTTGTGTGTGTATTGTATTATTAATAATAATCCATATTTTTTGCCTTTATAGTGGCATATTGGTAACCTAGTTTTTTCTTAAGTTAAAAAGGAGTAATAGATTGTGTGGCCTAACCCAGTGAACTTATAATGTTAAGAACAGGTTGTAACAATTCAGAAGATCAGAACAAGATCACCAGAATATCATTCATAAAAATATTTACCTAAGAACAGATCAATTAGATCTCGACCCTAGTACTCTGAAGTAAATTTATCAAATTGATCTGGAAAGACAACCTAATTTGACAAACATTGAACCGATATTACCAATCTGATCTACAACCAAAGTAAATATTTGCTCAAGATCAATCTGGTACTCAAAGTATTAATATAAGCTTTATAAGATCAACTAGACTTTGAAAAAAACCAACCCCATCTTCAAAGGATCTATATGATCTTGAATCGATCTGATTCTGGATTGGAATAGATCAATCTGATCAGCTTAAGATCATTTCAATCTCAAGATTATAAGAATCATCTACTATTTTAAGGAAAAAAATGACCTTGAAAAGACCAATCTGATCACTGATCTGATCAATCTGATCTTGAAAAATCAACTAAAACGTTCAAATTTCGAGATGATCATACAAAAGTAAATATTTGCTCAAGATCAATCTGGTACTCAAAGTATCAGTATAAGCTTTATAAGATCAACTAGACTTTGAAAAAACCAACCTCATCTTCAAAGGATCTATATGATCTTGAATCGATCTGATTCTGAATTGGAATAGATCAATCTGAACAGCTTAAGATCATTTCAATCTCAAGATCATAAGAATCATCTACTATTTTAAGGAAAAAAATGACCTTGAAAAGACCAATCTGATCACTGATCTGATGAATCTGATCTTGAAAAATCAACTAAAACTTTCAAATTTCGAGATGATCATTAAAAAGATAAATTTATTATTGATCATTTCAATCTCAAGATTATAATTTAAATGATCGATATAATATTTTAAAGATCAAAATGACCTTGAAAAGACTAATGTGATCACTGAATGATCAATCTGATCTTGAAAATATACTTGAACTTTCAAATCTCGAGATGATCATTAAAAAGATATATTTGGTATTGAAAATATCGACTTGATAAATTAATAATAATTAAATTAATGAACTTAAAAGTAAGAAAAATTAGTGTTTAAGTTAAACTAATTACTTTTTGACAGGAAAACTGCTATTAGTAGTTTAATTTAATTCAAATATTACTTAGGAGACTTAGACAAATCTTAGCAACAAGTTCACAGGTTAAACTTATAGATTCGCAAGTACACACGTTTATATATTCTAGTATAGATGGACAGGTCCATAGACTAGAATACAGACTGTTCAAATACTGGTCTACAGATTGCACTTTAGACTACATAAACAATAAACTCCACTATATACCAGTCAATAAATTCGCCTATATAAATCGATAGGCTTGACAATACATATATTAATAGATAAACTGAACTATAACCACACATCCGTTGTCTGAATGTTAACAAACGTGGTAAGCTCACTATTGACAAACAATCCGTTGCCAATAGTGAACTTACCACGTAAGTAAACATTTAGACAACGGATGCGTATTCAACATTACATAGTGTTGTCGTACGTAAGTATACACTTTGACAACGGATGTTATTAAAAAATTATAAACTCTTTGGTGTCAATTTGATACCAGGCAGGTATATTTCCTTTTCCCTCTATGTAGTCTAGTCGATAGACACAAGTATAGACTAGACTTCAGACTACACCATAGACTATACCTAGACTATAGACTAGACTATGGACTTAACTATTGACTGGACTATAGACTAGACTATAGACTAGACTATAGACTAGACTATAGACTAGACTATAGACTAGACTATAGACTAGACTATAGACTAGACTATAGACTAGACTATAGACTAGACTATAGACTAGACTATAGACTAGACTATAGACTAGACTATAGACTAGACTATAGACTAGACTATAGACTAGACTACAGACTAGACTATAGACTAGACTAGACTAGACTATAGACTATAGACTATAGACTAGACTATAGACTAGACTATAGACTAGACTATAGACTAGACTATAGACTAGACTATAGACTAGACTATAGACTAGACTATAGACTAGACTATAGACTAGACTATAGACTAGACTATAGACTAGACTATAGACTAGACTATAGACTAGACTATAGACTAGACTATAGACTAGACTATAGACTAGACTATAGACTAGACTATAGACTAGACTATAGACTAGACTATAGACTAGACTATAGACTAGACTATAGACTAGACTATAGACTAGACTATAGACTAGACTATAGACTAGACTATAGACTAGACTATAGACTAGACTATAGACTAGACTATGACTAGACTATAGACTAGACTATAGACTACTATAGACTAGACTATAGACTTAGCTAACATAGACTAGACTATAGACTAGACTAACTAGACTATAGACTAGACTATAGACTAGACTATAGACTAGACTATAGACTAGACTATAGACTAGACTATAGACTAGACTATAGACTAGACTATAGACTAGACTATAGACTAGACTATAGACTAGACTATAGACTAGACTATAGACTAGACTATAGACTAGACTATAGACTAGACTATAGACTAGACTATAGACTAGACTATAGACTAGACTATAGACTAGACTATAGACTAGACTATAGACTAGACTATAGACTAGACTATAGACTAGACTATAGACTAGACTATAGACTAGACTATAGACTAGACTATAGACTAGACTATAGACTAGACTATAGACTAGACTATAGACTAGACTATAGACTAGACTATAGACTAGACTATAGACTAGACTATAGACTAGACTATAGACTGACTATAGACTAGACTATAGACTAGACTATAGACTAGACTATCGACTAGACTATAGACTAGACTATAGACTAGACTATAGACTAGACTATAGACTAGACTATAGACTAGACTAGACTATAGACTAGACTATACTAGACTGACTAGACTATAGACTAGACTATAGACTAGACTAGACTAGACTATAGACTAGACTATAGACTAGACTATAGACTAGACTATAGACTAGACTAGACTAGACTATAGACTAGACTATAGACTAGACTATAGACTAGACTAGACTATAGACTAGACTAGACTATAGACTAGACTAGACTATAGACTAGACTAGACTATAGACTAGACTAGACATGACTAGACTAGACTAGACTATAGACTAGACTAGACTATAGACTAGACTAGACTATAGACTAGACTATAGACTAGACTATAGACTAGACTATAGACTAGACTATACTGACTAGACTATAGACTAGACTATAGACTAGACTATAGACTAGACTATAGACTAGACTATAGACTAGACTATAGACTAGACTATAGACTAGACTATAGACTAGACTATAGACTAGACTATAGACTAGACTATAGACTAGACTATAGACTAGACTATAGACTAGACTATAGACTAGACTATAGACTAGACTATAGACTAGACTATAGACTAGACTATAGACTAGACTATAGACTAGACTATAGACTAGACTATAGACTAGACTATAGACTAGACTATACTAGACTATAGACTAGACTATAGACTAGACTATAGACTAGACTATAGACTAGACTATAGACTAGACTATAGACTAGACTATAGACTAGACTATAGACTAGACTATAGACTAGACTATAGACTAGACTATAGACTAGACTATAGACTAGACTATAGACTAGACTATAGACTAGACTATAGACTAGGCTATAGACTTGACTATAGACTAGACTATAGACTAGACTATAGACTAGACTATAGACTAGACTATAGACTAGACTATAGACTAGACTATAGACTAGACTATAGACTAGACCATAGACTAGACTATAGACTAGACTATAGACTAGACTAGACTAGACTAGACTATAGACTAGACTATAGACTAGACTATAGACTAGACTATAGACTAGACTATAGACTAGACTATGGACTAGACTAGACTATAGACTAGACTAGACTATAGACTAGACTAGACTATAGACTAGACTATAGACTAGACTATAGACTAGACTATAGACTAGACTGACTAGACTAGACTATAGACTAGACTATAGACTACTATAGACTAGACTATAGACTAGACTATAGACTAGACTATAGACTAGACTATAGACTAGACTATAGACTAGACTATAGACTAGACTATAGACTAGACTATAGACTAGACTATAGACTAGACTATAGACTAGACTATAGACTAGACTATAGACTAGACTATAGACTAGACTATAGACTAGACTATAGACTAGACTATAGACTAGACTATAGACTAGACTATAGACTAGACTATAGACTAGACTATAGACTAGACTATAGACTAGACTATAGACTAGACTATAGACTAGACTATAGACTAGACTATAGACTAGACTATAGACTAGACTATAGACTAGACTATAGACTAGACTATAGACTAGACTATAGACTAGACTATAGACTAGACTATAGACTAGACTATAGACTAGACTATAGACTAGACTATAGCCTAGACTATAGACTAGACTATAGACTAGACTATAGACTAGACTATAGACTAGACTATAGACTAGACTATAGACTAGACTATAGACTAGACTATAGACTAACTATAGACTAGACTATAGACTAGACTATAGACTAGACTATAGACTAGACTATAGACTAGACTATAGACTAGACTATAGACTAGACTATAGACCAGACTATAGACTAGACTATAGACTAGACTATAGACTAGACTATAGACTAGACTATAGACTAGACATAGACTATAGACTAGACTATAGACTAGACTATAGACTAGACTATAGACTAGACTATAGACTAGACTATAGACTAGACTATAGACTAGACTATAGA